GGACAGGGCTGGCACCGGAGCCTAATGGCTTTAGGGGCAGGGGAGATGGACAGGAGAAAAGCTTCAAAGGCTCCCCTGGTCCGAACTCCGCTGGAATGGCCGCGAACCTCAAAGGCAGGGCAAGCGGGCAGCTCCTCAGCCCTGCCCCGGACACGGGCAGAGAGCAACTGCGGGCATCCCGCACCGTGCAGGTATTTCTGACCTGAGAGATGCTCCTCTCACCCTGCCTGGCTCACGGGTAGGGAAACAACCACCTTAGCACACCCCCACTGCCGCCTCCATCTCCGCAAGGCTTCCCTCTGTCCCCTGCTCCACACGGCTCCCACCTCTCCTCCACGGAAAAATGCCCACCCCAGGCTCCTCAGCAGGCTGAGCGTGCAGATCCCCCCAGGATGTGGGGTACAGGGGGTACAGGGGGTACCCGGGTACCCATGTGGGGTACAGGGGGTACAGGGGGTACCCGGGTACCCAGCCCTGCCCTCTGCCTCACCAGCAGCACCCCAGACATGAATCACCAGCCCCAGCAGCTCAGACTGCTGCAGTGTATTTTTTATCGAATTCCTTGCGCCCGCCACGGTGGACTTGCTGTGTTTGTTTGCAGCACGCTTGGCTTCCTCCCCCATCCAGATGTGCTGTACCTGCAGCTGGTGGCCCATCTCACCTGGCAGGCAGATGTGGGGCTGCAAGTGCCAGAATTAGCCTCGGGACAAAAAAAGCCTTGTGTGACCCGGCAGCGCAGCGGGAGGGGAGTTTTACTGCTCGGGATCCATGTCTGAAGAAAACAGGGTGACTTTATTCCCATCTTCTCTATCCTCCCTTCTCCTCCTCCCCCAGCCCCGAGCGTGAGGAGGGGTGGCGAGGTGTGTGTGTGTGTGTAGCCAGGCATACGTGTTTTGGGTCTGTTTCTATAGGGAATAGACAGAATGGAAAGTTTATCTCCCCGAGTCTGGGGAGGAAGGAAGTTGTGTATGGATGAATGGCTTTTCCATGACAAACAATGAGTCTGCACAGACATGGTGTGATGTCACCTAAAGAATTTCCAAGCCAGCCTCAGATACAGAAAACATTTTCGCTGGCAGAGAGGAGAGCGTCCCACCTTTCCATCTCATCACAGCCAGAAAGAAGAAGTAGGGCAGGAGAGGAAAAATAAAAGCCCTGGCTGTCTCCGCCACGCACGAGGCATGTGCCATGTAAACAGATGACACGATGGGAGAAGCGCATCTCCGAGCTGTGCCCTCACCCTGCGGATGCTGAGGAAGGAGTAAACCGTGGCCAGGCGCCCGGCTGCCTCTCCCAGCCGGGAATGTGAGACGGCAGCAGCTGCCGAGGCAGTTCCACCAATCCAGGTGATGTCAATGGCAGTGTGAGCTTCTCTGAGCACACGTGCAGCGTTCACGGGGCGGCCAGGACACGGCAGCACGCACCGCTGGCCCACCGGCAGCACCGCGGCCTGCGGGGAACAAAAACCTTCCCAGCCCGGAAAGCCTGGGAGATGCTCACGTGAAACCTGCTCCAGAAACACGTGGCACTAATTAAATACCTCGTTTCAAGCATTAATATGCACAGGCAGACGATGATTAACAACAGTGAGGTGTTATGAATACTGCTGGTAGCAGCCTGACTGCCAATGAGCACGAGGAGCGCTTGCGATCTTCTTTTGAAACACGGGACCCAAGTATTGCTGTACGGGATAAGATGGCTTATCCAGCCAGCCTAACAGCCTCTCCAAGGTGGCAACTAAAGCAGTTCCTTCAGCAGGAGAGGTCTCAAACTCTGAATCCTACCTAAAATCTGCTGGTGAGAGCAGCTGCCATTCAGCCTATATGTGAATTATGGAAGCGAGTCCTTTTTGAGGTGCTGGAAATAATTTCTTTGCTGGCTGTGTTTATGACTTCAGATAAAGTGATAACAGCAGGTGAGGCATTGCTGCAGGGATTTAGCCTCAGCCAGCAACTTCCACACCAAAAAAAAGCTCTTGGCTGGTGGTCTGAAGAATGCGGTCTTCCCCTCTTGTGCCTGTTTCTACTTGCCACCAAAATCCTGAATGAGAGGTTTTGATTTTATAAACAAAAAGCTTGGGTTATCTTTTGAGCCCAACTGCAGGGCTGGATCAAACAGCTTTGTGAGGTTGTTTGCCCAAGCAGGGCTGGGTGGCAGACATCAGGGACATTTTGTGAGGATCAGAGGTGGGGTGAAGCGGGGCTGCCGTGGGCTGGGATGGATGGAGCACCAGGTAGGACAGCCCAACCTCACTGCAGGTGGAGCAGCCCTCCTGGCCATCATCCTGCCCATCCTTCCCCATCCAGGTGACTCCCACCTTCACTCCAAACCATCCTTCCCCTGCAGCAGCCCACTCACACCAGCTCAGACCACTCCTGCTACTCTAGGGGATGAAGGAGCAGGAGGAAGAACTCTGAAAGCACAGGTTGCTGTAACTCCTGTGGGAAAAGGTCCCATCCCACCCCTTCCAGTGGGCACGGATCACTCAAACAGCAGAAGAGAACCTGCTCGAGCACTGCAGATGCTTGCACCCAGAGCAAGCATCACCTGGGCCAAGTAAGGAGCTGTTGCCTGAAAACAGGAC